CCATCTATTGAGTGATGCATAAACTTGATTCTATATTAGTTCTAATCGGTAGCGATTGGTGGCAGCACAATCTTGATCCGTACTATGCTGCCATCTATTGAGTGATGCATAAACTTGATTCTATATTAGTTCTAATCGGTAGCGATTGGTGGCAGCACAATCTTGATCCGTACTATGCTGCCATCTATTGAGTGATGCATAAACTTGATTCTATATTAGTTCTAATCGGTAGCGATTGGTGGCAGCATAATCTTGATCCGTACTATGTTGCCATCTATTGAGTGATGCATAAATTTGTTTCTATATTAGTTCTAATCGATAGCGATTGGTGGCAGCACAAACTTGCGGTGAATGGTGTGGGATTGGAGATGTAGAGTTCAACATTGCTGGTTAAGCTACCGTTGTCCCTTGTATTAGCCACCAGCCCGGCTAATAGATGGTAGAACAGTAGAATGATGCAATGTTGCCAACACTTGTGAATAGTGCATGATACCATAAAAGTCATTATTTAATACGTGGTGTCAGTCCTCAGACGTGATCTGTTGTACGTACTAACGATCCTAATCTGTGTTATCAAGCATGCACGGTTAGCATGTGACTGATGAGGTGACGTTTATAGTAGGTTATTTGGTAACGTTTGTCTGTTATCGCGTACTATGGAAGAGGAAATAGCGCAAGAGCATGGATTGTTGTTTTCCATAATATTTATATTTTGTGTGTTCTTCGGAGTTTTTATCGGATTTTTCGTTAGCTGGTTCAATTTGATATACATAGCGTTACACAAGGTGAGTATATTCTTGGCAGGAATTCAGGTTCTCACGGCAGCGATTATGCAAATAACTGGCCTGTGGGTTGCGCCTTGTAGTCTGGTTGAAGTTTGCAACTTGGCTGTGGAACTTGATGCTTCCAACATTTAGGCTGCAAGCACCGTCATGATGGAGGCAGCAAACACCTCTGAAACATTAGTAAACCATATCAAACTACATGGAACAACATCCCAGAATGTCATCATACTTGCTACTGTGAGATCCTGAAATCAGATGTATTTTTGAGTTGATCATCTCACAATACAAAATCGTGTCCTTCAGTTTTTGCTACTGGAGTTAAAAGAAGGCTTGCTTTCAGGGATGAAATGATGTCTGTTTATTGTAGGTAGATGAGGAGAGCAGGAAACATGGTGGAGAACTTGTTGCTGAGGTCTTGCAGAGCCATGGAGTGAAGTTTGTGTTTACGCTTGTTGGAGGGCACATTTCACCCATACTTGTTGCTGCAGAGGCAGCAGGGATACAGGTTGTGGACACAAGACATGAGGTATCTGTTACCACACTGTCTTCTGATGTTCGGCTGATAAAGTTGATAATATGACATAGGAAATTTCTGATGATGAAAATCACTGAGATGTAATATTTTTTCAAACTTTGAGGCAAATGGGTTTGTGTGAACTGCCTGTAACAAATCTCAACTCCCTTATTGTCGTGCTGATAATTCATTGTTTGGAGTTGCAATGATTCTGTTACTTTCAACTTTACTAATTATAGTAAAGCAACAGTAATTATCATGGCATTTATTTTTGGTGCAGGTGACAGGTGTGTTTGCAGCAGATGCTGTAGCAAGATTGTCAAGAACAATTGGTGTGGCTGCAGTAACTGCTGGTCCAGGTCTCACAAACACAGTTACTGCAGTAAAGAATGCTCAGCTTGCTGAGTCACCTCTCTTGCTAATAGGTGTGCATCTGAGGTCTTCAGACATATTTAAGTTTTGAGCAGCATTATACTGCTAAAATCACTCACACTTACTGGAACTTTAAACCACTTGTAACCAGTGTTCTATATGTACATGTTGTTTAACCTTGTATTTTATATATTGCTAGTGGAAGTGCCTTTCTTTGCTGGTTTCTGTTGTTAAACTGTACTGAAATAATGAAATTATTTTGACATTCTTATTAATAGTTTTGTTGTCTAAAAAAATTAAGGGACCAAAAGTGCAGAAGTATGTGTAATGACACATAATTTTTGCTATTTACTGCCACTGTGCCATTTAGTGACTTCTTGATGCATTAGAGCTACATCACTTTTAGTGCTATAAAACAGATTGTTTTGAGGTAACCTGGCCAATCACCAAGAAATACAGGAAGAGAAAAGGACTTTGTTTATAAAATTGCTTGGAAACGATGATTGTGGAGTGAGGTTTGACAATGTAGACTTAAGGTATCACAGAAATTGTTAGTTTTCGGTATTTTGTTTCCTTGTTAGGATTTCCATTATTCTATACATATCCTATAAAATTATCAGGTTGAGATAGAAATACATTTTTATTGGTTATAATTTTAAATAAGTGACTTTTTTAGTAGAGACTTGTTTCTTTAGTTTAAATGTTTTCAGTACAAATATTTTAACATTACTTTTATTCAGTTAAAAGTTTTGTTATCTCAGCAAGGTTAGGAAATGGGTCTATCACTCTTTATGTAAATGCCTTGGTCAGTAGATTGGGGAAATCTCTTTCTAGTGTCCCAAAATGAGAACAGAAAGCAAAGTATTCTAGAAATGAAGCAAAAGCACAGAATGTAAAACTATAGAATCGGTCAATAAACTTTAATGAAAAGCACACTTTGTTATAAACTTCCTATTTTAATTGGTTGCTATTAATTACAGGTGGTGCTGCAGCTGGCATGCTCAAGGGTAGAGGTGCTTTGCAGGATATTGATCAGATGTCACTGTTCCGCTCGATCTGTAAATATTGTGTTTCTGTCACTTCTGTTCGGGACATTGTGCCATCTCTGAGATATGCTATACAGGAGGCGCAGTCTGGAACACCAGGTAAGTGGTCTTGTTGCATATGTTAATAAATGATATTCAAATATTTAAGTATATTTAATTCATTGTTTAAATTAATGAGCCAGGATAGCTCAGTCAGTATAGTGACTAGCTAAGGGCTGGACGACCGGGATTCGATCCCTGACGGGGGCAGAGGATTATTCCTCTGGCCTATTATGATAAAGACAGACATTTGTGTTTTTAATGTTTCCATGCTTCACATGTCAGAGGGGTAATTGCAGAAGTAAATTGTGGGAAAATTTGGCTGCATTTCAAACTATATAAACATGGCAGTACTAGGCTACAAGATTTGCTATGTGGTGTTCCATGCTTCCATACTCAGGAAGCCAATAAAGCACCAACACATAATAAGGTACTGTTTGTATTTAAATCTGTAATAATTTGAGAATGAATTTGTGAAAAATCTGTGTTAAAATTCTGTCATTTGAAGAACATATATATCCTACAACAACCAATCATAGGATTATCAACCGGATAGGAAAAAGGTGATTATGAAAGGGTTAATATTCTTTCAAAAATAAATAATATGAATAAAATTTCTTGATACTGCATAATATTTATGTTAATAATTTTAATGTTAATTATTGTAGATTACTATGCAGGTCCTTCATATGTATGTGCATGCACACACATACAAATGTGAGCATATGCACACAGAAATCAGAAGCCAAAACTGGCCGAGTATCAAACCGAGATTCTCTTTCATGGTGTGTGATTTCTTACCATTTTACCCTTACTTTTATGAAGTATTTGTTTGAGTCTCTAAAAGAAATGATCTGGTATGGGACTTGTATAGGGTTAATTAATTTAACACTTGAAAATTGTTTTCATATAAATTTCGTGATGTGTGTGAAGTTTTTAATTAATTTAGGTCCTGTATTTGTGGAATTCCCTATTGACATACTGTACCCATATGCGCTTGTGAAGAAGGAAGTTCTTGGTTCAAGAAGAAGTAGTGGCTTGAGGGCGCGACTAGTATCATGGTAAGTATTCCTCACTTGGTTTAAGTGATATAGTAATTCTGTTTTCAAACCTTGTTGAAGGGAGTTTGTGGAAGTATCAGTATTATATACTTTGGTGCAACAAACCAGAAGACAACCATCTTCATACACAGCCCCAAGAGAACCTGAAATCTTACTTTATGAGACCAGTTCATTTAAATGTCCTTTCTTACACCACATTCAAGGCATGATTTAATGATTTCATTGGTATGTTCTACTATGTAAGGCAGTGAAGTGCACATAAGTCACAAATTTTTGGCATGAGAACAGCGTTTACTGTTTATATGTACCTGCAGCATACTTAAATTAATTTTTTATAATTATGTACCCCTTGTTTTGAATCTGCTGGACTTCATTGGTTTCCAAGGCTTCTGTGTTCAGAAGGTGTCACTGAAACCTGTGCTTATGCTTGCGTGTACATTGATAAGAGGAGGAAGAAATGTTAATGTGACTGTAAGTCTTAGTGCCTTGTTATGAACATGCTTGATAGATGATTACTTTAATGAATTCCTGTGGTATAGCATAACGAGTTACTTGTCAGTGGATTTCTCAGTGGTTGGATGTTATCTGTAGTCTTTTTGGTAAATATCCATCCTTTTCTTTTTACCTCAATAATCACTTCAGGTAGGCATGCTTTCACTATCCTGATTTTCATTTAACCATGGTTTTATCTCAATATTATGAGGAGCGTTAGTATCCTATCCACAGCCACGGTAGAGGTTGCTGTACAGACCTGCTGAGTTGTGCATGCAGTTTCACTGGCTCACCCCTTCTTTTTGAAAATGGGTACTACAAATTACAGCCTCTCATATGAAAATGGACACATTATGCATTTCCTGTTTTACAGTTTTTGAATGTACACAGTGATTCACAGGAACCCAGCCCCTGCATGTAATGAGTCACCTCTACAGTATATTTTGAATTTAATGTTGATGGTGGCTGACTGATTAACTCTTTTCAGGTATCTGAAAAACTATGTGGATAACTTATTTGCCGGAGCATGGGAACCACGAGACATAACCCCACTTCCTCCAATAATTCGTCATCCAACAGGGAAAGACAGTATGTGATGTGCACAGATAAAATGCATTGCTGAGCAATTCTAACATTTCTGATTTCTTCATAATGCACTGCTCTTTCTGAACTTAAACTCATTAGAATATTTCATAACAAATTTTTATATTTAAAATGTTTTTTATTAATTTTTCAGGTAGGTGAGTCTTGTTTATTACTTCAGTGTCACAGATATTCCATCACATGATGGAAGTGTATGTAATATGATATATAATGTTTCAGAAGGACCTGACCTATTGCGAATGTTTATGTCTTTAAAGCTAATTTAATCAGTCAAACACCAGACATGAGTGGCAAGTGCCAGTTTGTTGTTTTACATACTAGAAGGGTTTGAATGGCATTGCATGTGTTCTGTCTTCTTGTTGTAACTCTGTTTCTATTTTTGTTTTGTGTTGTGCTGGTTCACAGTCAGGTATGTTGTTTTACTGTTTAATTTTTCTGCAAGGTCAGATATGCAAACTTAAAAACTGTTTGATTTTTCCAGCTTGTATTACTCATAGTGCACTATTTGTACATGGTATAGAAGAAGCTACTGTTAAATTATGCAAGAGTTGGGGTTACATTTGAGTTCTGAGGTGATTGTACTTTGTCAAATTGATCACAAATCTTTCACACTCTCCTTCTGCTTCTTACACTGGCCAGCATGAAAAGTTAAATAGCATTTTATTATTGTAAGTATCTATGGGGATTGTAAAATTGTTCATAATATTGGCATTTTTTAAATTTTATATTTAGTGTTTGCGTTATTGCTTTTCACAAAAAGGAGAATATTTACCAGCAATACATTCCAGAAAGGATATGTAAGAGGTGAAACAGAGTCCTTGCACTATTATTTTTGTTGAACTGAGAATCATGCTGCATGTCCCTCATTAACGTCTCTGTGCTGTTACTACCAACATTTGTCTTATCTGCATTGCTAGTTCAACGAAGTGCTGAATTGCTTTCTCGAGCAAAGCGGCCATTGCTGTTACTTGGAAGCCAGGCAACATTGCCGCCAACTTCCATCCACTCGATTCGCAGAAGTGTGGAGGCTCTTGGTGTACCTTGTTTCCTTGGAGGTATGTCCCGAGGTTTACTCGGGAAGAACAGTCCGCTGCAGGTGAGGCATCAGCGCAGAGAGGCTCTGAAAGAGGCTGATTTAGTGATTTTGGCAGGAACAGTCTGTGACTTCCGTCTCTCCTATGGACGTGTTCTGCCACGAGGTGTCCCAGTGATAGCAGTGAATCGTGACAAGGACCAGTTGTATAGGGTAATGATATTGCTAAAAAGTTTTATTTTTCCTTTATTGGGCAAGATTGCAGAGTCAGAATTGTGGGTAGCGCACAGCTCTCTCACCGAGCCCAGTATTAACCCTGTTTACTAAGGGACGAGATTCTTGGTATTTCTGTTTTCCTTGTTATTTATTCTACCATTCTCTCTTTCTTCATTATCAGAATGTTCCTGTTTATCAATATTGAGACCATTGTTGCTTCTTTAATTTATTAAAGTTGCTATTTAAAATGGGCTGTATCTTTCTTTCCATTGCTTGCTTTTGTGCTATTTATTGACTCCATTTATTGATTTCTAGCTGTTGAACATCAAATACGAGTCAACAGTGGCATGTTACAAATCTGCTTATTAGTAGTGTAACTAAAATAAATAATTGACCCCTTGGTTCTTATAGAACTCTGACATGTTTTGGAAACCCTCGTTGGCTGTGTGTGGAGATGTAGGCTCATTCCTGCAAGAATTGTCCATGTTCCTTGTCGACTATAAGTGCTCCCCTGACTGGCTTCAACAACTCCAAGAGAGGGATGCAGCTAGAGAAAAGCAGAATCATGAGGTAATTCTCCTAAAATGCCATAGATCCGTCATCATTTCTGTTCATCCAAAATCTTAATGTCACATGATTTTTAGCTCAAATTTCAGTTTTAAATTCTCATTGAGAATTTCAGGTGTAATTACATTTGAATTCAGCTGCATCCAACATACAAATATATCTGGCAGATATAATTCCACTGAAACATGCAGAATGTCACCTGAGAGCATTTAACATGCATGCACATGCACACACACACATAGAGCTAATTCAATTACATTTATTAGGAATTACGCAAGTTCCAGCTAGTACTTTATAATAAACATGAAATGGAAGCAATTTTAATAGTCTTTTTAAGAAATGTAGGAAGTAGAGTTGAATGATGTGGAGATGCTTTTTCTTACAATAGATGTAGCCAGTATGAACATTCTTGACATAAGCTGTTTCTACAGTTCTTTAAATATAGAATGGCATTCACAGTTAGTTTTCTATGATTGATGTATAACATCTCTGCTACATATTCTGTGAATGTATTGAGTGTTTCTTATAAAAAGTTATGTATAAAGGTGAAGGTACAGTAAAGTCGTGCCTATACTTACTTAAAACACCACGTCATGGAAGTGTATGGGAGATTAGAGGTAAAGTTCCTCTCATCCTTAAACTCTGGCTTAATGGAGGTCAGCTTTACACTCTGACTGCCAGAGTGGAAAGGTGCTCTAATACCCATCAGGTAGCGAGCTAGGTGTACCCTAGAAGCATTTTGGATGCAATGGCAAATAGAAAATCACTGATCCTGCTGGGATTGTACCCCAGTTATGCAGTGTGTAACAAGTCACTAGCTGAGCTATCCCATCTCATATGAGTGTCATACGTGGGCAGTTTACAGTTTCACTACAGAGCCATAATGTATCACTTGAAATTATTTAAGAACTTGAATCCATAGAAATCACTAGTGTCCCACAGTACTGCCTGGAAGCAATACTGCTAGAAAGTGCTTTCCTCAGAAATGCTTAATATTGCAATGTCTCGGTATTCGCAATCTCTCTAGTAGATTTCAACATAGATTTTACCCTTAGATAGCAACATCAGGCAATGTTGTGGTAGTACTGTATTATATACTACCATATAATTTATTTGAATGTAAATCACGTCAGGTAATCTACTGATTTCAGTCACATTTGTTGTCATCAAAACAGACGTTTGTATGGGAGTCGTGAATTTTTGCTAATTTCTTCTTGTTCCTGTTCTTCACTTTCCTTCTTTCTTTTTAGATGTCACTGGAACCAACAGATAAATATTTGAACCCATTGAAGTTGCTGTATGAAGTTGAGAAGATTTTGCCTGATAATGCTATATTGGTGGCTGATGGAGGAGACTTTGTTGGTACTGCAGCTTACATCCTAAGGTGACTTTCTTTTCATAGAAATAACATTTTATTTTCATTAACATGTTTACTGTTTCCTTTTAACTGTATAAACTGCCTTTATAGCCTGACACTTTATACAGTGGAATGTTTAAGTTTCCAGATTCTCTTATTATTTTCTGCTGGGAACCGTGTGTCTGCTTACTTTGCCCACCAATGCTGTCTTGATAATTCCATCCTTTCCTCCTGTCCCTATCCACCACACTGCTGTGCTACATTCCAGAAGACGGCCCTCTTTATTCTCATCACTATGGGAAACTCTAGTCTCGCCAAGAATATCTTCTTTTTTGTTGTGTATGTGGGTTTTGTTGTGTCTGTAGACCTCGTGGCCGTTTTTTGTTGTGTCTGTAGACCTCGTGGCCCACTTGGATGGCTGGATCCTGGTGCATTTGGAACTCTTGGTGTTGGTGGAGGTTTTGCGTTAGGTGCAAAGTTATGTCACCCGGATGCAGAAGTATGGATTCTTTATGGAGATGGATCATGTGGATTTAGTGTGGCCGAAATTGACACTATGACCCGACACAAAGTGCCCGTCATTGCTTTGGTTGGTAATGATGCAGCATGGACACAGATTGCTCGTGAGCAGGTCCCTATGTTTGGAAGCAGTGTGGGCTGCAAACTTGCTGTGAGTATTTGTTCCATTATTGATGAAATGAGAAACTTTTGTGATTCTACTTGACATCAGCCTGACTATAGTCATGTGTTTTTGTTCATGTACTCGTATTAGTCATATCTGTATGCGTTCCCACCACAATGAATGCATATTTATTTTAATTTTTCTCTGTTTTCAGTATACTGACTACCAAGAAGTATCCAAAGGATATGGAGGGAAGGGCTTCTTGGTATCAGATGACTCTTCAGACTTAAGTTCCATTCTAAAGTCTGCACAGTCATTGTGCCAAGAAGGACACACTGTATTGGTCAATGCACTGATTGGGAGTAGTAAGTTCCGAGAAGGCAGCATATCTGTGTAACTAAGAGATTCTTAGATATTTATTGCACAGTCAACACCTGAAATAAGCAATTATAGAACAATTTTGTTTCTATGAATAGTACAAATCAGGTTAATGGAAAAAACATGCCAGTGGCATGTATGCATTTTCTTATAAATATTTACATGTGGATCTGTGTAGTCCATTAGGCTGTGTATCTATAGCATACTGCTAAACTCTTAACTCTGGACTTCTACTGCAGTCAGAAGCCATGTAGTATGGGGATTTACATCCCTGATTCCCATAAGACAGACGTTAATGTCTGATAAAATTCAAGTGTGGTTTTTCTGCACTGATTAGACTTGAGAGGGGGTGGGTGTGGTTTTCTTACACTGGTTAGAATAGAAAGCTCTATGGATTTAGTATTTTGTCTACCTCTCATACATAAATTGTTTTAGTTGGGTCCTTTTAAGATATGTTGAAGGTTCAAAAGCTGAATTGGCAATGTTGTCCATTCCTATTTGTCTTTCTGTGCAGGAGCATACATAAGTGCTTAGAAAAATGTTGTGATACTTTTAGGTTATGTGCAATTTTATAACATATTTTTATATTTGAAAAGAGGTGCCAGTCAGTGCTGTATACTAATTCATATCGCTAGAGAAAATGAGGTGTTTGTTTGTGTATGATATATGTAATCTTGGGGATCTTATCTTCATGCATTGTTATTGTCTTTGTAACACCATGGGTACTTTTTAGTAGTATCCATATTTATGTATTCTGAGTAATGGATTTAAATAAAATTCTGAGTCCTACACATATTCAGTTTTAATAAGAAGTTAATTGATCTGTATTGAGTTTTCTTCCCACTTCGTCATTTAATGCTTGTAATGTGAATGCTTATACTGATTTCCATAAGATGTTTCATAATTCTCCTGTCTATATCCCATTCTTACAAGTGGCCTCTCCCCTTCAAGCTTCCCATCTAAAATTTTATATGTATTTCGTGTTTTCTTCATGAATGCAGAAAGCCCTGCCCATCATATCATATATGATTTACTGCTATACATTTTCCTATGGAAATTGGAAACCTGATCATTTTTAAGTGGCAGGCTTCTTTGACTCAAGGGAATCATAGGAGTTGGAAGGATAGAGTTTGTTAGTGATATGATGTCATAAAAGAGGCTGTTGGTGTGTTCTGAATGTCCATGCACCAGCTGAGGATAAAATAATGTGTGGCACAAAAGACAAGTGTGTTTGATAAATTCTGAAAGTAAAATTTTGTTTGGAGATTTTAAGGCAAAGGTGTGTAAGGAAGATATTTTCAAACCAACAGTTGGAAATAAGAGTTTATACAAAACTAGTAAATATATGGGATTATAGCGCCAAACTTTGCCACATCAAAAATAAAAAAAGTAGTTCTCAAGAATACTATCTTATGACATCACAGAATTCATAAATTATACTTTTCCTAATGGAAAGGTGCATGTATAGTCAGGTTGATCACAACTTGATACATAGAAAAGAAAAACAATCAAATAAGCTTCATGTTTGATATTTCAGATTGGCTGACTGTGGTACTATTATTTGGTGGTTACAAAACATAACGAGACTGTCGGCCAATAAGCAACATGTTTAACTAGAATTTAGGTTCTCACAGCAGTTGCCAATGTTTCTGGGGACCTTGCTGCCTCCATCATCAGAGCATGTGAAGGCAGCAAGGACCTCTGAAACATTTATAAACTTCTACCAGACCACATGGAACTACAAACCAGAAGGCAGCCATCTTTGTAAGGGTGTTTAATGTTCAGAGATTTGATCTCAAGTTCCTTTACATCAGTATTAGGCCCAAGTCTCAAAACAAGTTGCTGCTTTTACTAGTTTTCATGATTATGTGGGCATCAATAGAACTAGGCAAAATATTACAGAGAACACTGGAATTTCAGCTGAACAGAATCTTGGTTATTGGGAGTTACAGCTTCATAAACTGTAATTTGACTAAGATATTTGATTATTATATACAAACAAACAAACAGGCTATTTTGCAGTGGTAGCGGATCCAAACCAAATGATCGTATAATTTATTGGCAAAGTATGACGTGAAACCAGTAAGGATAAAAACAGAGTTTTTCTGAAAGACGAAAGAAAGGCTTGAAATAAACCGCACGAACCATTTGTGAAGCATGACAACCGACATTTTCAGTCGTGTAATCATAACATTTGAGATACATAATAATCCGTGATCAAAGTACATTAAATAGTTCCTTGGACGTTGGTATGCCCTACGTGACTCCCATGCGTAGGACATCTGTTGAAATTCCATTGTAATCCAATGGAAATTACCCTTGTGTCTCGATATTTCAAGTACTTGGCGGGCTTAGTTTTATTCAACTTATGTGATTCAAAATAAGTATAGCGCCTTTGGGACAAATAAAGGAAATAAAACTATCCCAACTTGCAGTTAATGAAAGTGAACGTGTTTATTTATAGTTGTCAATAATGACTCAGGAGTAGTTGTACTATGGTAAGTACACATTACGTTGTGTTTTTGGTTATGTTTTGTTGACATATGTAATGTGGTTAGAGTTAAAAGTTTATATAGAACATCGTGAAAGACGAAATGCCGGTTTAATAGGCCTACATTGAGAAATGCTTTTTCCTACCTATAATTATGATCTGATCTCAGACAAAGGCACCAGTATGTATGGGTTAGTAAATGTTTCTTGTTTCTAGGTTTATTCACTCTCTAGCGTGAATGAAGAACACCTTGCGGTCCTGTCCATATCTGCATGGCCAGGGTCATTGTTCGAACACATTGTTGCAAAAAATGGTAAGAGGTCATTGTAACAATGGTTTTGGATCATGTGCATGTAGAATTACAATCACTGAAATTAAATTTATGAGAGGAAAAGCAAAATATACTTGGATGGACTATAAAAGAACTGAAACAGTTCCTATATTGGACACAAGTTTGAAATATAGAACGAGCTGAGCTTGTCATGGTAGCAGAATGCAAAGAGATGGACTTTCCAGACTATTAAAGAATTACAAGACACGTGGATTCAGAAATTAATTATTACCTTTAAAGATATGTTTTGATGATCGAGGCCAGAATGGGTCAATCAGTGGCCTAACTCAACTATTAGGAGGTGGTGATGATGATGATTTTATGTTTTTCATGACAGGTTAAACAGCATGATGTTTGATTAGTTTAGTTCTATTCACTTTCAGGGTTTTTTTTAGGAAGCAAGAACAATAAATTCTGTGACAAACTCTGTGTAAGGTGTGGATACATGCTTATGTAGCTGAAGAACATTGTCACTATATAACAAATTTGTTCCCAAATATGATATTGTTTGCAGAGACGCAGTCTTGCTCCGAGTCAGGTTGCAAAACGTTGCATTGAGGATAATTCAGTTACTTCTAAGAGACTGAGCAAACGAAGCTGCCAGGAGCCAACTAGAAAACCATTGGCCCAATTGTCTGCAGATCAGCAACAACTTCGTACTCCAGAAGTCATTTCAGAGCATGTGAGTAGCAACTCACATCTTCAGAGCAATGTTTTCTTTGAGATCGGTTAGTTGGTTATCAGAATTTAACAGTGATTGGAAATGTAACTTTTCTAATGGAAATGGTTTAATGTGAAGTCATTAATTATTTGTATTGAATAAATAGATTTGATATTTATGGCAGTTAATGTGTTAAGGCATACAAGTAAAATAATGAGACAGTTCATGTTTTAATTTAGGAATCTGAAAACAAAATAAGTTTGAAGTAAGAAGACACTGAGAAATACGTGCCCACAGTGTGTGTTGAAACAAAGATATGTTTTGTTAATATAGTTGGAAACAGAATTTAGGATATATGACTTAATAAAAATAAATGGAAAGATTTAAATGTCAGGACCCTTATTAGTTAATGAAAAATGAGAATAAATACTGAGAAAACACATGCTACTAAAAGGAGATTGAGTTGGTCCATATATACTTTGTATAATTGTTCTGCAAACAACTGCTTGGATTACAGGAAGCTCTCATCAGGAAGTTGTTGTCAAAGCCTTTCAAAGTGCCAATACCAAACTACCAGGGTGTACCTGGTGGGCGCTTCCTCGGGGTTGGGAGAAGCAGATGTCGATGTTCTCTGCATGATCCGAATGAGCCAGGTGCACTTATACTATATGAACCACAAGAACTCAGTGCTCATGACAAGCTGAAACTGGATCTGTGAGTGGATCTTGCTGTTTTTTATCTAATTTGTATTTGAGACACAAATTGCTTTGCTGCACATGTTGGGACATTTATGGACACATTTTTGGGCTATAGTGTTTCCTAATTGCTAGTGGTCAGCAGTTGAATTAAAATAGCCTTCTCTGAGTTAACAGTGGGTGTTTTTGTTATTTTATTTTTTAGTGCAGGAAATTTGTATCTGTTAGCTAGAATCATGTTTTAGAAATTGGGAAATGCCTAGGAAGGATAAAATATCCATGTTTTAAAGTTGTTATGTGTGCGTACTAATGTATGGAGCAGCAACTTGGACATGCTGATTCCAAATTTATGAGTTGTGATGTGACATAACTTTTTGTTTACAGTGACAAGCAACCAGTACACGTGGTGGTGGATCCAACATTATCAAATATCCTACGTCCCCATCAGAGGGAGGTGAGTATTCTTACAACTAGTCGATTTTTAGCATTTTTCTGTTGTAAAATAATTCACTCAGGAGTATTTGGAACTGTTTGCTGCATAATGATTTAAAATTGTGCAGAATGTGAGATAAGGTTATGATGGTGAATCATGCCCATAGCAATTATGGACAGGACTCATCTCTGTCATTACATATTAAGGTTGTGAGGAATTTTTTGAAAGTAGATAATCCTGTATTATATGGAAAAGGAAGTAACATTTTAAGAAATAAGTAATTTTCCGTTAACTATTCCAAAGTAACATTCTGTGAGGTTGATAAAATAAAAGAAACAAAGAGCTTCATAATTATGTTTTGAATCAGTGGTTTAATTTATGTTTGTGTGACTTGTGGCCATCTGCAGGGTGTCAAGTTCATGTATGAATGTGTGACGGGTCAGCGCATACCAGGCAGCTATGGGTGCATCATGGCAGATGAGATGGGACTGGGTAAAACACTGCAGTGTATCACATTAATGTGGACATTGTTAAGACAAGGACCTGACTGCAAGCCAACAATTGATAAAGCAGTTATAGTGGCTCCTAGCTCACTAGTTAAGGTTGGTAATACTGTAGCCATCAAGTCTCTGGCCAGCAAGATTTCTTGCCGTCTGCTGTGTCTTCAGGAGTAGTGTATGTTGTCATGACATGTCAGTGCATGATGACATTTCAAAATACATTGTATGTGCATATTCACTACAGCAGAGTTTATAAACACATATAATTATGTGCATGCCTTTATTAAGCCTTAGGACAGGGACCAGTGATTAGTTTATGTTAATATGGCAATGAACCATAGGGTTCCAAAGGCGGCAGGGAATTTTATGACTAACTGAGCTTTTAAGAAGGTTTGTGCTGTATGAAGTTAATTACTTCTATATTAAGCCATTTCCATGTGCAGGAATGTGACAACTCATCTAAAGTTTGAATTAATCCATTCACTCACTGCATGATACAGGGTCATTAATGAACAGTATCTGCTCAAGATATTCTGTGTTGTTCTGGAACCCTAGGTTTTGTCTCCGTGGTAATGATAGCCCACTGTTGAACCCTGTTTTGGGCAATTTCATTTCAATTGAAAACCTGTTATCCAAAGATCTATTTTAATATTATTCTCTCATCTGTGTTTTAATCTTGTAAGTTCTGTCTTCATATATTTTCCAGCCAAAATTCTGTACAATTTCTTGTTTCCCAATGTGTTAGTCAATTTTAGCTTTCTCAGTTTAAATGAGTAACCCTAACGATATGTGGACAAAAGTACGAATTGTGAAGCTTCTTTTAAATGAATATCCCTAATACATGGACAAAAGTACGAATTGTGAAGCTTCTCGCTATGTCACTTGCTCATTTTCCCTTTTTCTCTGTCTCTCCTAGGCTTGGACAGTCTCCTCAACACTGTTTTGTCAGATGTACTTAGTTTCTTTTACTCTGTCAAGGTGAGAGACCATGTTCTACACCCACACAAAGTAACATACAAAAGTGCAGTTTTGAGTCTTTGATAGCAGATGAAAGTTATCAGTATTGGTCTTCTGAGTTGTGATGCCATGTGGACTTCTATGCAGATACCATTGTTTCAGAGAATCATACTGTCTGCTTCTTCAAAATAGAATTTTATGATATTACAGAACTGGTACAATGAAATTAACAAGTGGCTGTGTGGACGAGTGAATGCGTTGGTTATTGACTCAGCCTCCAAAGATAAGATCGACAGAGACCTAGAAGGATTCATGCAGACTTATTCTCGAAGGCCTGTAAATCCAATTCTGATCATCTCTTATGAAACCTTCAGACTGCATGCGTCTGTCCTTCATAACGGTGAAGTTGGACTGGTATTGTGTGATGAGGCAAGTGAAACAACACCTGCATAATCTACATGCATGTTGCTGCATAGAAAAAAGCGTTGATTAAATTTTGTGCATTATAATAAATGCAGCAGAGTTTCAAGTAAGAATATTGACCCATTTTAAACCCTAATGCACCTAATTATAAATGCCCATTGCTGTCTTCAGAACTGAGAAAATGTATGTGGCACACCAATGCAGAACAGAGCTGGTCATGTTGACATATGCTCTTGTTTTCTCATCATCATTCTTTTATTTGGTTTTGTAACAGGGTCATCGTCTGAAGAACAGTGAGAACCAAACTTATCAGGCTTTAATGGGACTAAATGCCAAACGACGTGTCCTGCTATCTGGCACTCCAATACAAAACGATCTACTTGAATACTACAGTTTGGTTCAGTTTGTAAACCAAGGGATTCTGGGAACTGCTCAGGTATGTATGCTGTTGCTTAATTACTGAATGATACAAAACTTGGGGTTTAAAATAATCATTTTTGTGATGTTCTTCAAGCCCTGAAAGCAAATCCCCATGTGATCCTAAAAATTTGGCACGTATGTTGTCCCTTCAGTTATTACTGTTTGTCAGTTCATTATCACAAGGTTCACACTGAAGTGTCAGGTTAAAATCATTAGAAGTGACATCTCAGATCTCATAGGAAGTGTCTCATTGTGTTGGGGCCTTGTTACAGTGTTATTCTTTGGGATATTTTTTTCATTCATGAGTTGTGTAATCCCATTTGTTCAGGTCACTGAAAAAACAAATTTCAGAGCTGCAGTATGTTTTATAAAATATTTATTCCTCATCCTTTCATGATTCATAATGATGTTTTAGCTGCTGAGCATTTGGGGATAATATTTAATTTAATAATGTATTTATTTCTACACATAAAGTAAAGTAAAGCTGTCCCTAGTGTGCACTGGGAGTAGAAGAGGTATACCTTCTACCTGTTCTTGACCTCAGCACTAGGTGAGGTGGGTGGTCAGTGTGACACCCTGGCTAAGCTTTACCCCTGAGGAAGGGACCCCCTCATACCCATTGGATAGGAGGCTGGATACACCTCAGAACCAGTCTGGACACAGAGGCCAGAAGCAAAAATTCTTTGACCCTACTGGGGTTTGAATCCCTGTTGTCTGATTCGTAGCCAGTCACTATACTGACTGAGCTATCCCAGCTCATTATTTTTGTACATACATATTTTATTCTCTTTTATAATTATGTTACTTAGTTTTACAAAACAACTGATTCCATGGCTATTCCTTAGCCTTCTCATCAAAGAGTTACTGATTGTAGTATTTTTCACACACATGGATATACATATATATTTCTTGCATTTTCTAACTACTTAGTCGAGTTACTGAATGTTGTCTGTGTACTATGTCATATACAGTTCTGGGATGTGTGAGGGAATTTATTTAGCATACAGAAATTAAATACCTTTAGTGCAGAGTTGTGTTCAATTTAAAACACCAGTTTTCAATATGTTCAACAGCATGAATGCTTTTACATTATTTACTCATCATACTCAACTTTTGTACCATGTATCAATCACCCCCTCACTGCATTAATGGAAATTCTGTTCTTTAGGAATTCAGACGTAAATTTGAGACTCCAATTCTCCGAGGACAGGACGCTATGGCAACATTAGAGGAACGGCAGAAAGGTCAGACATGTCTGGATGAGCTAGCAGCCATTGTAAACCGCTGTTTGATTCGTCGTACATCTGCTTTATTGTCTAAGTATCTGCCAGTGAAGATTGAACAGGTGATCTGCATCAAACTCACAGACATTCAGCAAAAAATATATTCAAAGTTTATAGCCAGTGATGCCATCAAAAGAACTGTTCAAGGTGAGATCTGTTTGGTGCAGTACAGCTTTGAAATCTTAAGTACAGTAGATTCCGGTTAATTAGGCCATCGGTTAATTAGGACAGCCGTTTGTTTGAGACAAATCTTAAAGAACAAACCTTTTTATCTCTTTACGTGTAACTTCGCATAATTGGGGCAGCCACTTAATTGGGCCAAAGTGTTCTAGTCCTGATGTGTCCCAATTAACTGGAATCCACTGTATATAGATTTCACTGTATCAGTTCTTTTCATTCTGTTAGTTAATTTCTTTGTTGATTCTTTTGTTTGAACGTGAAATGTGTGGTTCATTGCAGGAGGAAGCAGTGGTAAGGTCACTTTATCTGCATTGTCATCTATCACAACCTTGAAGAAGTTGTGCAATCACCCAGACCTTGTGTTTGAAAAGGTGGAGGCAGTTGATGATGGTTTTGAAGGAGCCCTGTCTCTGCTGCCTGACAAGTACAACCCAAGGTGAGATATTTCTTGTCACCCATACCCAGGGATTAAATGGTAGAGAGAGTTTTGTGCTGAACCTAAAAATGTTCTATGTGAGTCCGAAGGTGGCTGTCTTTTGGGTTGTTGCGCTGTGTAGTCTGGTAGAAGTTTACCTAAACTTATCAGACTATACAGCGCAACAACCCAGAAGACAAGCCGTCTTTTATAAATTCAGTTAGAAACTACATAACTTCATAAATAGTAATTAATGATATGCAAGACCCAAATATTAAAACTCGGCTTTTGCTGCGCCATGTAGCCTTGGGTGGTCAGAAATTAAAATCAGAGAAAACTAAAATTTTCTGGAAAATTAATTTTGGTTAATTAGATAACAGCCTTGATAAAAATCAGCAATATATAGTCTGACCTACTGTCAGCATAATTAATTCATGTAGAGTCAACGTGATATATGCACTTAAAAATGGGTAGACATTAAGTGTGGAATCAACTGTCCTACATTTAATAACATTTGTTTCAAAAATGGATTCTAAATACACCTAGGGCTGGTAGAGGGCGGGAAAGCTCATTGCAGGTCATAACTGTGGTATTAAATACCAGCCAACAAACAACAAATAATTCCATGAATTATGAACATTTTAAGTAGATGAATTAAAATGCAACGTATTCTATTTCGTGGAGTTTTCACAACCGTCATATTAATAATAACTGTTCATATTATTACCTGAATGAATATTATGACATAAACATGTTTTAATGCCAGTTGATTTTGCTGCAGGAAAATAATAATGCCAGAACTATCTGGAAAGTTGGCAGTATTGGACTGTTTACTGGCAGTTGTTAAGGCAACAACACAAGACAAAGTTGTGTTGGTGTCAAATTATACACAGACACTGGATCTCTTTGAAAGGCTGAGCAGACACCGTGGTTACCAATACGTTCGTCTGGATGGATCCATGACAATCAAGAAAAGAGCTAAGGTCTGAAACTTCATATGCCAGTATTAAGATTATTGGCTATCATAACTGGTAAATAATTGTGATGAGTTAGACTTAAAGCAGTAGTAAAGTTTAAATTTGAACAGTTTCCTGTGTTCATAATATTGGCCAGTGCTGCTTCTTGGCACCAAACTATTGCAAAGTATACTGATTCCGATATGTGGCCCTGTTCTCAATCGGGATATTGCCAATTTATGTCTGGAAGGAAACATTACGTTGTGTTGTCTGTATGAAATTTCAGAAGAGTCAAAATATCAATGTGCTGATTCTGTAATGTTTTTATCTTATTAAAGTTGTAGTCTTCTACCAAACTACATGACATAACATCCCAGAAGATGACCACCTTCAGTCAGATTTTTGTGTGTTATTGTAATTTACAGAATGTATATAATTTGTTTTTTATTGGTGAAATAGATTTGGTACTTTTTGCAGGTAGTTGAGAAATTCAATGACCCATTGAGCAATGACTTTATCTTCATGCTGAGCTCAAAGGCAGGTGGTTGTGGGCTTAATCTGATTGGTGCAAACCGCCTTGTCATGTTTGATCCCGACTGGAATCCTGCCAATGACGATCAAGCCATGGCACGAGTGTGGCGAGATGGACAACGCAAACAGTGTTACATATACAGGCTTCTATGTGTAATTATCAGAGATTGAGCTTATGCATGTTGAAACAATATGTAATATATTTTATACAGATATGAACTCGACTAAACAGGCTCAGGATCATATCCAGTTTCATGTTTCAGATTTACTAGTGTTAAACCTCTTAGATATTTTTGCCATAGAGTAGCAATTTTTGTATTTATATGTTTTTATGAAAGTTGGTGTTGGTAGTATATCATAAATAAAATTTAAACACTCTCTGAAAAAATTTATCATGTCAGTACAATAACAATTTTACATTTTATATATACAGTATGAATTACTATGAAGTAACAGTTAATAGTAATATGTAACTCATTTTCTGTTTTGAAGCATGATTATAGTTTCTTATTTTTGTAGCTGAAAATCATGTTTAAACTTTGCATATTTGAATATTTACTCAAATTGTAATGATTTCCAGTTTTCATTAAATATAAAGTTTGTTTTTTGATTTATTTTAACCCCATTTTGATCTGTTTATTTGTGTGCTCTTATAAATGTCACAAAAATATCTGTCCTGGCTTTTAATTGCTCCTCTGTTACACTAAATTAATTATCTGGATAACTGTAATCTGTTGCAGACAGGGACAATAGAGGAGAAGATATTCCAGAGACAGGCACATAAGAAGGCTCTGAGTTCCAGTGTTGTTGACAATGAGGAGGATGTTGCTAGACACTTCTCACAGGCTGACCTTAGGGACCTATTCAAGCTGGAAACTGACACCCTCAGTGACACCCATAACAAGTATACTTATTTTATCCAAAAATATATACAAATATACAATGAAGTGTCTGGACTTTCGATGAACTAAATAGACTAATTGTATCAGATTTGAGCTTCTCATGGCAGTGCATTGATGTTGGTCTTCTGCGTTGTAACACCTTGAGGACTTGACGTTGTGGAGGAACATTCTGCCTCTATATCCAGGTTTTAAGCCACATGGCATTACACCTCAGATGACCAGCTTGTACATAAAGAACTTGTTCATTCAAGGTAAAATGCAGTCCCACTGCAAGGAATGAAATCTTCTAGTTATGAAGTCTGTGTAATTTGTAAATTTAGCATTTCATCTGCATATTTATGACAAACATTGATCATCATTTCAGATTCCGATGTACACGATGTGTCAACAGGATACAAGTTAAACCTCCTCCAGAGGGAAGTGACTGTACTTCTGACCTATCATGTTGGAACCACTGTGCTGACAAACGAGGGTTGCTGGACCTTGTTTTGAAACAGTGTTGGGATGTGGGAATCTCATTTGTGTTTCATCACCGCTCTCATGAGCAGAAAGCCATTCCATAATATTAATTTTTCTGGATACTCAGACATCTTATAGGGATATGAACTCTGTAATTACTGTCATGTGAAGCTATAGACTGCTGTCTGGCTTGACAACACTAATTTGTTTCATTTGTTTACTTTTTATTATATGGCACCAGGGGATTTTAATGCCTGTATCACGGGGCTGTCGGCTGCTCTTTAGCTCCAGATTTAACGATTGAGTGGTACATTAATATGATGCTCAACCATCTGAATCTTGCATTAGCTGGATGATAAAGGTTAACAGGTTGTAACAAATTGTTACTATTTTGGTAACACTGCTAGATATTCAGCATGAAGTATTTGAGTGTTGTGCAGAGAATTGTGAACTGTTTTGTATGTCATAAATGTCTATGAGTATAATAAATTGTTACCATTTTTATTTAAGAAAATTGTTGGGAAGGTGAAGACATTACAACTTCCATACAGTGAAGTGTGATCTGCTAACACCAGGAATTAGTGAACATTTATTTGTCATAACAAAACTTATCCAAACAAATATATGCTGACACAATGTTTTGTGATGCATTTTGATTTTGTGTATTGAAAATTATTAGACATCCTAGATCTTATTATTCCTTGCCATTGTTGCTAAAATTACAACATTTGCTCTTCTAATTGTTATTTCTTTTTTTGGGTGTTGGGCTATACTGAACATGAAGTGCCAATTCCTTTTGTGATAACTATGCTTATTAGAGAAACATTTTTGTTCCTTAGATTTTTTATCTTGACACTTGACTTATAAGTTTTATATGTACATATTTTTAGGCATTGTGTGTTCAGTGTTAATGAAACAATTATTGTATTGAATGAAACAGCTGGACAAATAAAATATGTCTACTTCTGCCATTTCCCTTCTTAGCAATTGTTTTCTATAATTTCTTTCTCCCACTTGGGAATTCGGATGTGTACATGTTTTTAAGGCAACCTGTGGTTAATACACTCAACAGTTTACCTTGTCTTACATATATTCATTTCCATTCTCTAGCTTCTAAACATGATTTTGTTTTATGGTCATTTACTTCGAACACTTTGACTTTCCATGGGTGCGTATTGCCTATATTAATAATCCGTGGCGTAATAGCCCTCTGAGAGCACAAAAGATGTTATTTTGCCCTGAGAAATATTGCTTTTGAATGTAGATGGCTTTAATTGTAATATTAGCATTTTGATTTTGTTAAAGCATACTCAACGTCAATTTCTGAATGTGGTATGTTCCAACGGAGGTAACCATGTAGGTGGTCCGTCAGTGGAGGTCAAGAAGCGTGAGGGACGAAAAAAATGGCGTTTGAGATGTTGCTGTCATCGAATTTTCTTCAGTTTATTATTGATTAAATCAGTGACTGGTCGTGTAATTGGCGTGAAAGCAGTCAAAATGTCATTATATTGATAATTTGTTTTATTATAGATGATGCCTTCTTTGCGGAAGAAGGTTGCAGGATTTATTCGTCAGCTTTCGGTAAACAATCAAAATGAAAATGTCGATCAGATTGATTCTGGCCCTTCATCGGGCTGTTTCATTCAAAGATACCTTAGCGGGTAAGTGGTACAATATTTGTTTTAATGCGTTGGTATTGTCTTAACATGGTGGATGAATTTTGCGTTTAAGACTGGTCCTGACAGTTTTTAATTACGTTGTTCTAATCCAAGGTAATGCAAGGTGGCCATGAGGTTTTTGTGTGATATTAAACTTCAAGGCAACCTGTGTAATTATTTTCAAATGATCTTGGCGTGTTTTATATGGACAGTTACCCAGTACAGAACTGTTCATATTGTTTTTTTTGTATGTAGTGCAGATTTATTCAAGACAGGAACATTTTCAGAGAACAAGCAATTCAAATAAATTGTTCTTTTTATATGAATTGAACAGTAAGATGTTTGCGTTATATTCTTACAGAACTATAGGAGTCTAATGCAACCTTCACAACGTTGTTATTCATCTCTAAGAGTGTTGTTTGGTTGTGCTGTAACAGGCATGATGTAAAGCAGACGGAACCTGTCATCCTTCATGGTCGAAATCCACATGAGTTACCACGTAAGAACATTGGTACAATCATCTTGGGCAATCAATTTTCTGCTGTTACTGGTCCAGATGGGGGGCTGACGATGGTTAATCGTCACCAACGCCACCTCTCTACAAGTGACCCTGATGTTGATTATATTGACATTCAGCAGCATGTGTCTGACCAGGAGCGTAAGAACACAGGTACAGCACTGTAACACTTGTGCAACTACAGTAGAATCTCACTCTAGTGTATAACCTGTTTCTCTGAAATATGATCCATATTTTATATTTCATGCAATGGTTCAAATTGGAATGAACAATAAGTGAGTTTGTTGAATATGAAAAGAATAGTAAGAAAATTTATGGTCACAATGGTCTTGAATTAGTAATATATATTTAATCTGTGATAAACCATGAAAATAAGAAAGAGTAAGGAGGCTTCTGATGACATTACCTCTGAGTGTTAATACATGCAATATAATTTACATTAACTTGTGGGAATATTAAAAGGAGAGAATATTTTGGCTTTGCATTTGTGACTTTGGACATTATCTGTACTGCATAATGCAATATAACTTTCCATGGTTATTTGTTTTTATGCTTGCATTAAGGTTGCAGTTGTTACCATAGCAGTGTGGGTGATTACATGGTATAGGCTGTTAATTAACAATTTCCTTTATATTTCATTATACATTACATTCTGAAAAGTTATGCTAATTCTTGTTTATGGCTTTACTCTGTTTTATTGCATTTATTTACAAAATTTTGAGCCTTCAGTAGCATCTGCCTGAGCTATTCCTTTGCTGTTCACTGTTTTTATAGCCTCAATAAGTTAGGCTTTGACGTTTCTTTGTTTGTTATTGTCCATGGTGATGGGTTTCCTTCCTCCAGTGTCATCTAGTGACTGTATATTCAGCCCAGGATATGGGCGGTGGTTCACCATAAGACCACCAGCACATCCCATAGACAACTCGGTGATGCATATTCGTGCAGCTGGTTCTGTGTTCAGCGTCGGTAAAAGGTCTATTCATACAAGTGTCTCAGACCTGCAGACCACTGCAGAAACAGAAGAGGATTCTAACTTGAATATAAGACCAGAGGAAGATACAGTATTCCAAGCCATAGATATTTTAAAGACAGATCCCTGTGCTGCGGAACTGAATGGGAACTCTGAGGTGCAAGAAGCGTCTGAATCCATATTCAAACAAAGTTCACCTTTAGATTTTGTGATACCACCTCCTGCAGAATATGCTACTGGTGCAAACTGTACGACCTTCAGTGGATTCACTCCCATCAGGAAATCAAAAAGTGCGCCTCTGGCTCGAGGCAGTGCTGCTACGGCAATCATCAATGGTAGCCAGAGGCATGGTGGTAAGTTTGGTATTGTAATATTGCCTGCTTGGAAGTGTAGCTATTACTCTGCCTGCTAGATTGACCGACAGAACGTGGTATGTTGAGATGTTACGATACTTGGCATGCGCACTTGTAGCGATATTACTTCATCTGTTCGTGATGGTTTAACGTTGCTGCTAGTTCTTCTTGAAAGTGCTTTCATGAACTGAGCCTGACTTTGATACACTTCCTGATCATGCAGTCAATGTAACTTGTTTTCTGCTCAGAATTTGTTACTTGGAAATGAATAATGTTATCTCAAATTGATACTGTGTTATACCACATCCAATTTCTCAGGTTTGCTAGGGCATGGATTTTCTGTTATGGGGTCATCTGTCTGCTGTTTCACTTTTGTACTAGGAATATAATTGGCTAAAGGAAAGTGGCTGATTTTGTAGCAGTTCAAGCAGTAGTGATAAATTTATTGAATTACTGCTCTTCATTCAAAAATTGTTTACATTGGATGTTACATTTTTTGTAAGAAAATCCAAAGCAAGGATGTACATGGCCCTTTTCTACAAATATTTTCTCCTTGAGACCACTTTTTTATAGCTGTGCATTTCTTTTGAAATTTAATAGGCTATGACAGTGGTATTCAACCTGGGGTACGCGAAGACATCTTAGGGGGTACATGAAATTTAAAAAAATATATATTATTTTATGATAAACACTGAATAATCAGTAATGTAATTTATTTAATTTATTTTGATGTAGATTATATACTATGTATAACTTGAATTATACACCAACAACTTTGGGGGTACAAAGTTAAAGAGAAATTATATCTGGGGGTACGCGAACAAAAAAGGTTGAATACCACTGGGCTATGAGGTTCTCACGGTGGAGAGTACAAAGATGGATGACTTCTGGATTGCAGTTCTGTGTAGTCTGGTAGAAATGTTTCCAATGTCTCAGAGGTCATTGCTGCCTCCATCATCAGGGTGATGAGTGCCCAGATTGCCCTGATGATGGAGGCAGCAAGAACCACTGAAACGTTGGTACAATTCTACCAGACTACATGGTGTTACAATGAAGAAGACAGCCATCTTATTTTGCAATTTGTTTGGGTTGACATTGAAAACAGGACCTGCGTGTGTTAATGAGATGAACATATTCTTCATATAATGAGCTGTTTTTGAGAAGAGTGATAGAATTTTTATTTCTGGTCAAACAGTAACGGGCGTGCATTCTTCCACTCATTCTTTTTCTTTTTAGCACTTCATGGGACATACAGCACACATGACGTTTTTTGTTCTTATTGCTTGTGTACTTATATGTTTATTTGAGGCACAGATTTCTATCCTTACCTCCATTTTTCTGTCCAGTTGTGTTTGTTGCAGCTTTAACTTATGAACTTTTTATTGTGTCTCTTTCTGGGATGGAGGTAAACGTGCGTTGTGCTGGCATACACGCGCTTCCCGTTTTCTGCTGTTCTTAATCCAGTAGATAAGGAACACATGTTTTATGTATATTTGCATTTGTTTGATTTATCTACCTTCGCTGTGTTACCAAAATGCTCATCTTTAAATTGAGAAAATCACATCTCACCGTGACAACATTTCTGCATCATGATTTTGTAGAGCTCTCAGAGTCGGGGAAAGAGAAGTTTGTTAACACATATCCAGCATACGAACAATTTTTGTATGATTGTTCAATATGTGTTTTGTATTTTATTTATTCATGCTGGTTACGTTTACAACCCAGAAGACCAACGTCGATTCTTCACGGCTGTGAGAACGTCAAATCTTCATACAAATATTTTATTCCTACTGTTTGTTTACGTCTGTATGCACATATATTTTCACTGTAGTGATGTCCCACAGATGGAGTTCAGCAGATGTCCTCTCCACCTTCAGAAGTAGCAGGCGTTTTAGATTGGTCTCGGCCCCATCCCAGAGCTTATGGCGCTGCCACGACACTGTATGAGAGGCACCCTCTAACAAAACAGCACGCTGGAAGCCCGATAGCCGACTGTTTTGCCCTTGTGGCTAGAACCAATTCCGCTATACTGACACTTGCTGATGGAGTGAATTGGGGTGAGAAGGCTTGTATCGCTGCTAGAAGTGCTGTCCATGGCTGTGTAGACTATCTGAATAAGGCAGTGTTCACTTCTGGTAACATTACGAATACTACGGTGAGTGACATATATTTTATTCTGAAGTTAATGATCGTAAGTTTTAATCATTGTGCCACAACAAAGTCCTTTCTTGAATATGAATTCTCATATTACTACTGCACTAGAACACATAGTTTGTGTATGTCGCCTGTGATGCTGCTGACTTGAGTAACCCCCTAACCATCCTCGCCAGCCAAGGTAGATGAAAGTTGGCTTTGTTTACCAGAGTGAAGCTTGACCGCTGTAGTTTATTCATTTCAGTAATTGTCCGTGTTTCACATTGACACACAAAGTTTAGCTTGGGAAGATTCCTGATGGTTCACTTAACTTATATAGAAAATTATATAATATGTAAGTCCCAAAAATGAATACATAGCATAAAATTCCATTTAATTTAGAACTGGTCATCATTTCCTTTGATATCAAAACATCAGACTGCATGACCCTGTCTTTTGGCATCTTTGCAGTCTGTAAATTGTAATGGGGACAATTTTCTGTGTCTTTTTCGTCTGTTGCGTATCATCAAGGGGAAGTCTGTTCATTGTGCATTGCTCCAATTTATGAAATACATAATCAAATAAAATGTTTTAATGTAATACTGCTTGAAGTGTACGGAGTGCATGTATTTGCTTGTTTTTTACTAAATGTGTGTTGTCTAACAGGAAGTGTTTGTATCATTGCTGCGATCATTCCACGCAGCGCACAGTCTAATACTTCAGGAAGCTGGGATGTTGACCACTCTTACCACAGCCCTAGTATTGCCATTAGCAGATTCAGATAGGTTCGTGACCTGTATCTGTAATGTCGGTGATAGCCTCTCATATGTGTACAGCGCACAACATGGTGTCAGGGAAATCACCAAGGGTGAGTATATTTACTTTCTGAGATTTGAGGTTCTTGTGCAGTGTCTTCAGAGTTGCAGCATGGAGACTTACAGGTGGTTACCAACATTTAAGAGGAATGTGCTGCCTCCATCTTCAGGATGTTACAACCAAGAAGTCCAACGTGAACATATTGACTTTTGTCAGAATTGTGTTCCACCAAATCTTATGTAATTTGAATCCGATTTAACCAAAGAATAAGCACATACTGACATAATTTACGTCTGTTTCTACCTTTTTATGCCTTCATCTTTAGAAACAAAGTAATTGCTGCCTTGCATTTGTTTACCTTTGTTTGTAGTCGTGCGGCTGTACCATTGTTTATGTCGCCAGACTTAGCCTTCTCATTACAAAGGCTTACATTAAACCCCAGGGCAGTATGTATTCGATGTGTGGGGCACAGTGAAATTGGGCCTGGTGTTTTTCTTCCCTGGTTTTCCCTATCCAGTTATCATTTCCACAAAAACTGTGTTCGTAATTGTCCATGAAGGGTGTGTCAGGATGTACCAGCCAGCGTTTCTCACTATGGGGCTTTATCTGACGTGGCACTTGTCAGAACTTTTAGTTTGGTAATTAACTCCCTTTTTTTAGTTTCCTTTGATGTATGTAACTTAAATTTACTGAAGATGAATTTGCCAAAAGTATTTACTTTTAATACAGAAAATATTCTTTGGTGCATTTGTATCGACAACACATAAGATACTCTTTCTAGTTACAGTTTGTTTTGTCCTACGTTTAACTGTTTTGTTTTTGTGCTTATTTCTCGATAGAAGGAATAAGAACTTATAATCTTGGCTTTGGACCAAGCTTGTTGCTGTGTTCCTGTATGCATGTTTCTGCCGCATTAACTGTGGCAAGGCTGACCGCAGCATTTTACTTCCTGTACATAAGAATTTGTATTTCAGCCAGGAAAAAAACATTTTTTTAATGTGAACTTTTTTTCCAACCCAAAAGGGTTATAATGCACAAAACTATAATTTTTCCTGCTGTTTTGTGTTGTATGAAGTATGGGTTGTTGCATTAAGGTAAGAACATGCTTTATGGGAGATTGACAGTGGATTGCTGAGGGAAATATTTGAACCTAAGGAGGGATTAGTAATGGGAGACTGCAGAAAATTATGTAATGAGGATCTTGTTAGTTCCCACTCTTTGCAGATTATTCTTAGGGTGGTGAGACAAAGGGATGAGAAGGGCAGATCATTTTGCACTGATGGAAGAGGTTAATACATTCATACAAAATGTTGGTTGGAAAAACCTAAAGGACAGAAAATGCTTGGAAAGCGTAAGAAGCAGGTGAGAGGGCTATTATTTTAATGAGCGAAGAAAAGTAAGATGTGGTGGTATGGATTGGATTCATCTGGCTTAACATAGGGATCTGTTGTGGGCATTTGTGAAAATGATAATGAACCTGTGGGGTCTGTTCTACAAGAGAATTTTGTGTTTTGTGTAGAGATGTGGCATGTACTCGGTTTGTGTGATAAATGCAGGTTCCCATGATATCCACTGCATGCGGGACATGCGGGATGCCCTGGGAGCTTTGGGTCCAGTGGATGGACAAAATCCAGAGCTCAACAATCTAACCTGTTCTATGACAGAAGTGGAATCTGGAGATATCGTATTCATCACGTCTGATGGAGTTTCAGATAACTTTGACCCAGTGGTGAGTTCACTTGCATAAAATTATAAGTAATGAGGAAATTAGTAAAGGAAGATGTATAGAAGTGAGAGGACGCATGTAGAAGAAGATGAATAATGATGGGGGAAAAATGTATTCCAAATGAGGACTTTACCCCTTTCAGGGCTAGCCTTGTGAATGTTGAAATGGTGGAAATATCGTGCCTTTGTGCTGAAAGTATAAATTTTGAGGAAAAGTTACTTTTTTTAATTAAGCCTGCCATTTCTAACATAGAATGTAATGAAATCTCATTTTGAATTTAAGTACACGCAGGATAGTACAACAGACTAATGTGTTAAATGGAATTGGCAAGGGGTTAAAAAATTTGTACAACTGCAGATGTGTTTCAAGAGCATAAATTCTATGTACAGTTTGCATGTTCTGCAATCTGAATTTATATACCCTCTTTGATTATGGATTTTAACAATGCAGGTGATAGATAATATTGTTTCTTAAGCAATAGTTTTATGTTGTTGCAATGTCATTGCTACCACAAGCTGCTGTGTCTCTCTGGTATATAAGAAACCCTTGTTAATCTGCGTACTAACTGTGCGTGCTGCAAGCATGAGAAAATCCCACAGTACACTATGCTGTCAAGTGCCTACTTGCCGCAGAGTGGAAGCAGATGCGTAGTACTTCGACAGAAAAAAACTCTTAAGTGATTGTAGCAGAACATCACACACAACTTAATATGGCTGCTTGTAGTTGAAATGAAATAAATAATTTGTGTTTCAGGAACATTCTGTATATACCTACGAGGTGTTCCTCTGAGATTTGGGTGTGGAATTTCTTTCTGTTAAAGAAATTGTTTTCCATTTCTTTTAGCTGGAAACAGTTTGATAGAATAACATGGTTTCTCCATGTTTCTAGGTTGGTAAGTTTGCTGTACTTCCACCTTCAGAAAATTTAAATCTGAAAGTTCCACCTGGTACAGTCAAGACATCTTGTACTGCTGCCAACCATGGTACTTCTAAATTCCCTTGTGAAGATTTCCCTTCCTCAAGTTCTCTACCCACTGTTCAAGCTTACCAGCGTCATGAACTTTCTTTGCTGAGGATGGATGATTTACTGAAGAATGGAGTTTCTGGTAATGGACCGCCGTGCCAGGATGCAAAGACACTGTGTGAGATGCTTCTGGACTTTGCTACCAGGTGGGTGGGGGCCTCTACCTGGGCCTCAAGGAGAATATCTTACGTTAGATAGTATCAGAAGCTGTTCTTTCTTGTGGCTGTTTCTTTTCTTGTTCACTCCATGGTTACTGTGGTATGACTCATGTTGGTTTGCATCTAATATACCACTGTTACAAATTTGATGTGTGCACTTAACAATACTCGATAAAGACACTGACTGCTGTACCGCATCTCCGAGATGTTAGGAACTAGCTGCCATTTAAATGTAGCTGCTAGTTCTGACAGGGTGCCACTTAAAAACTATTCCAGGGATTAAGCAGATATTGGGAAAAATGTGATTTGGTGTTAAAACTGAAGAGAGCCCCCCCTTAAAGAAGGGAACAAATGTTTGAAAAAGTATTTTCTTATCTGTTAGAAATGATGAAAGATTGAGTGTAATGTTGACAGATTGACAGCTGCCAAGCGTCACATTCTTGAAGATCCTGACTTGTATTACACCACAGTAGAAGGCAGCACAGAAGTGACGGAGTTAAGCAGGGCTGAACAGCGATCTCGACGCAGGAAAGTGTGCGAGAAACTTGCTATGGTTCCTGGCAAACTGGACCATGCCACCGTTGTAGCCTACCAGGTAGTAAATGTACTACAGGTGCTGTATATTTGATTTGCATGAAATTCGGTAGATTTAGTAGGTGTTAAGAGCAGAGAAATTAGATGTTCAGAGGCTGTGAACTGTATTACAACGGACTTAATTGCCCGTGCATTTATCACGGTAAATTTTGAGGTAAAGGTCTGTGTCACTTGCTGACAACCAGCTAGGAGCAGCGTCATTTCTTTGGTTGCTACCACTGAATGCCAGTACAAGCGACAAAGCGCAATAAAAGCAACATGAGGTGCTGAAAATGTTACCTCTTATATGCACACTCTATAATCACTAAAGGGTTCAGGTTGCCATGAATATATTTTTTAATGGTAATTTCTAAAATGTCTTCTTTTTTTATCAAAGTTTGGGCATTTTACCACTTTCATTTCTTATACTTTTGAAATACGAGTGTCTTGTGCAAAATTTATCTGTGACAGTATTTTATTCAGATTGTGGCCTTCGTTATAAGACGGTAGTCTAAAGTAAATACCATAATTTCAGAGGAATATCTGCTTTCATCTTTAGGGTTAACCCCAGAGATGGAGGCTGCATTTTCCTTCAGAAGACAATCTGAACTCGTATAACTTCATGACAACCTCAGATGTCAGGTAAGTTAATTCTGTTTACAGGTTGGTGTTTACAGAGGCAATGAAAATGACGGAGGAATTTCAGCTCCACATATTCGCAGCGACGATGACTTGTTGGTGGAGACGGTTCTCTAGAAGACGCTGAACCTGGCGATGGCCGCAAGTTGAAAGTTTTTTACCAGGTTGTCTCTTATGCATTATGGATCCAGTACCATATTTATTCAAATGTTTAAGTATTCGGCTCTGGACACTAATAACTAGTCACAATTTTGAATGCGTGCAACAACACGTGAGAGAAACTTGTATAAAGTGAAGAAAGAGTGAGAGAGGCAGCTACGAGTCTTAACGTTGAAGCCCTGAGCCTGCATATAATAGAGACATTTAAATTGTATATGAAGAGGTGCATTTATGGGTTAGCCAGGAAACAGAATAATGAGCATAATATGCGTCAGAAGAAAGAACTGAATTTTTATTTAGAAAAATGTCTTTTATTTGAATAATTATGGTATTGCTAGATGTAACTGCGCATAAAGTTAATTCATTGCTATGCATTCTTAATGTTACTGTTGCTTTTCCACTGCTTCCTGTTGTCACAGCGCAGTTTGTTTTTCACTCTTCATACGTGTAACACGGCAATTTGAGACGCAAAAGTAACCAGAGCTAGGACCCAAGAAGAGACTAGCAAGAAAAATAACACCAAATATTTCTTATAAATGAAACATTTCTTTGGGTGGTAATAGTTGACGTGCAGTAAGGAATTGGTTATACAGGCAAGATCGAAAAAGTGGCGAAGAAAATAGTTGCTTTTTTGTTTTTGTCCCAGCAACAGCTACTCAGTAATTAACAGTGGTACCAACTTTACAAATAGCTACTTGGGAAACGTGAAATGATATGATTGGCGGTCTGCAAATTTGTGATAATTTTGAGCAGCATTTTTATTCCATTTGGCAGCACTGTTCGCCGCAAAGTTATGGTGAGCCTTGGATCTTACAGTGATGAGAGGCGACAAGCATGTCGTTGATGGCATTCCATTATGATTAACAGCATTTACGTATATCAAAATATGGAGGTATTTTAGATGCTTCTAGATATCAAGTATTTCTTCTTATTTGACTGAATTGTTTATATATATATATGACATAATATGTATTATAAAGCTGTATTTCTGTTACATGAGAGAGCTAAATGAATCTAAACTGTTGTTGAGTCATTTATCTGCAGTGGTTGCTCTCCGCCTTTCGTATTCTGCTGCAGTACCACATAACGTGATTCACCAATGTAGAGCCTATAGCCTAGAGCCTATGTTACTTTAATATATTTTAACAAATATACTTTTTTTAATTACAAGGTTATTTGAAAAATGTATCTTCATTAATTTAGTGCAATAAAGTGAAATTATAGTACATAATTGCTATAAGAAGCTGGTATAGTAATTTTTGAAGGAGTTTCCACTCTAAATTAACATTAATTTTTCTGTAAATGTGTGTGTGTGATGTCCAATCCAAAAATTCTAAGTGCATTGTCTGTGTCTTTGTGGGGGCTATAATGGTAAGGCGAGGATGCAGGATAATAACTGAAACATGCATGTATTATTTTGCATGCCAGCTGTCCTTAAATTAACATCAGTGGAGCCCCACAGGTGAGCTTGAAAAGTTTGTAGTTACTGATCCTTTAAAAAAAAAATCCAGTTTCTACCAAATGTGGCAGCTCTTTACAGAAGTCTGTTGTGAGGTAGTTCAGTCCAATCCACCTTCTGACTCTAGTTCTTGTTAGGTCTCTTTTTAATAACAACCTTTCATCTGTTCTCTGTTACATTACTTTTTATGTTTTTTTTAAACTTTGGCTTAAGTCGTGTAATTAAACCAAAAATATCACTGCCATTTGTCAGTGGCCATATGAACTATCTGATGTCACAGTCATCAGATTTGATGATGCAGTAGGAACTGATGTATAGCATCTTTTATCTGAGCAGGAGAGCAGAAAAGGCATAACATCCAAAGGTACTAACAAACTGGTGTTGTGTTTTCTTTTTGGTCGGGATTAAATTTTCTGGAAACCTTGTAAAGAAGGTTTAAGATAAGGATCGAAATGGAAAAAAAGTATTTTTAATCTTCAATAAAATTACAAAACTTAATATGGACTCCATAACAAAAATAGAAAGTGGATGACATCATACCAGACTTGCCAACATAAATGCTCAGTCCTCAATTTTTACTTCAAATAGGAAAATAACGTTTTTTAGTTTCTCTTGATTTCTTCTAAATTGTTATTCTCATTGAGTTTAAAATTTGACTAATTTACATTGTATTCGTTTCATCTGTGATCGTCTTTGGTTTGTCCTGTGGAGGTTACTCTGAGTACACCCCAGTTTACAAATCAATATGAAAAATTTAAGAGACAGTTTTCCCTTCACCATGTTTTGCATCGTTTGGAGGCAGAACAATCAAGCAGACATAATCTCATCTTGATAACAGAAGATTAAGTGATACTGAATGACACAAGATTTGGATACTACATGTTGATACAGTTCCTTAAATTTGAGAATAAAGTTTATCGAGCTCCGCCTGCATCACTCTGCTTGCACACAAAATTAAAACACAGTTGCTTTCTGAACACAGGACACATTTAACACACAATGTTGATACCGATGACTGCTAGTCTTGTCGAGATAATGTCATCGGGTGTTTACACAACTATCATTTCTTCCCACCTGGAATCAAACAAGAATAGTTAGTGAGGTTTCAGGTTCTCGTGACAGTGAAGATGTTGATGTCGGTCTTATGGGTTGTAATGCCATAACATTTTGGGTATTATTTTCAATTAGAACTGATTTTAAATTTACCCCTGAAGTGTGTAGTTCTGCTTCAAACTCATGCTGTGTGTGCTACCCTGTCCGTCCTCCGCATTGTTCAACGTCTTGAATTCCAAAATTTAGTTTGTCATTTGTTCCTTCAAACCTGTGATTGCCAACAGACTGTAAAATCTTAAATGTGTACTTGATTTGAATAATTCAGACAATTATTGTCATGAATGTCACATTGGGAATATTTCATAACAGTACTTTTCATTTTCATTCACCGAAACAATGTCTGGAAAAATGCAAAGTGTTTTTATGTGCATCAGAATCAATGATCAGATCTTCAAGATAAAGTGATGCAGGGTGTAAGTTCCTCGAAAATGTTTGTGACCATGTCAAATGGTACCACATCCCAGAAGAACACTATCCACATCATCAGTGCCACGAGAACCTTAAATCTCACAATTATCATATAGACAGAAACTTAAGAAGAACCTTGGAATGATTATTCTCCAAGTTCCTAGAGACTCTGTGAAATGAAGCTGTTTTTTGAGTTCCAGAGCAGGCCGCCTCCCCCCCATGACATACAAATAGTATGTCGAGACACGTCTCAATAATACACGAGAACACACCTTTCTTGACGTTCTTTTCACCTCCTCCCTTGGCGCCACCACCTTTCTCCCCTCCCTTTCCACCACCTGTGGCTTTCTTCTGCAACAGGAAGAAAATGCAGTTAATTGTTCAGTGTCTTGAACGATGATGTTCAATTTTACGAGAAAGAAATTCATGAATTGATAAATAAAATTGCTAAAGTCCGTTCTCTACCTTTTCTGTTACTTACTATATGAAGTTATATTCTATAAAACATAAAAGGCAGTATAGAGCACATTTAATTTTGATGCTACAAGTAAATTCATTGGTCTAGTGATAATTTTAGAGTTTAAATTCATTTACTCTGCAAAGCACATCGAGCACCAAATGAAATGTGACAACTAATACACTACTACATAATCTGTAAACCAATTTGTTAAATATAATACAAATTTTAATTCTGACAATGTTACTGTTCTGGATTTTGATGCTGTGTAGAGCGATAATTACCAACATTTTAAAGACATACCGTCTCCATCTGTAGGCTGACTTCAGCTCTGAAGATGATGTTACTCCAAAATATTGGTACCTACCTATGGCGTCAAGACCCAGAACGTAATCGTCCTCACCATTGCGAGAGACCCAAAACTCAAACCAGACACGGCCATTGAGACCAGTTTTGCTCTACCACATTTGCATTTGCAGTTTTTCAAACTTGAGCGGTTTTTGGATGATTTGAGTCGGATAATTGGTCACAAATTTAAGGCCTGCTGAATTACTACTCGGAGTAAAATATGGGCATGTTCTACCAGTTCTTCATTCTAACTGGCTAGTTTTTGAATTTAATGTTACATACCTCCTCCCCTTTACCCCCACCACTGCCAGCACCAGCACTGCCACTGCCACCACCTCCACCTCCACCACCACCACCACCTCCGCCACCACCTGCAAATAATTAATAAATGGGTCACTGGAGACGGCCTGTATTGAAATAATTTTTCCAAAATTATAGCCCGTGAATAATTTATTGTTAAACCATAAAAATTAAGTTAATGACAGTTTTGTTATATATGTGTTAGTAACAAGATTAATAGGTTATCATTGCTTTGTCTTGGTATGTCAGTCGCCGTACAAATGTTTGTATCAGCCATTGCAAATCACTTTTTTAATTTCATTAAATTGGTAGTGCCGGAGCCTATTTGCGCGTTAGCAAGATTTTGGAGAAATGCTTGAGACCTATCTTATCGAAGCTGATTACGAGCATTCCATAAAATAATGCTGGTATTTCCAATGTAAATATTTGTTGACTGTGATAACCTTACATCTGTTTATTTTGAGCATATTCTTTCTATATATGAGCTGCTTTGTAGTTTGGCATTCATCCAACTTCTAATTAAACTGTTGTGTAGCTTATCTTTGGCAGCTGTAGGTTCCAGTATTTTTCATTTTAACCCTTACTGTGAAGTGAGTGTTTTGCACATAACCTCACCCCCTTGCCCCAATTTAATGGACAGGGCAGATGAATGAAGTGGCCAAGAAATCATTTCTCTTCTAAACATCAACTTTTCTGACGTGATGTAAAACACGTTCATTTTATTTTTTGGTGTGCTAGAACCCCCCAAATTGAAAAATAGTGTTCACTGACAGACAATCGCTGACAATTGGAAAGCCCACTCATAATAAAATTTGTCTTTGTTAAAATATACTTCCATCTGCGTGCACAACAAGGTAGCAGATACAAACAAAAGACGATTGTCCATCATGTAAAGTGATCTGTCGTCCTGACTGGCTGTAAAAGAAAAAAGGGTTCAGATGTGCCTGGTGCTAAACTAAACACCACGCAGTGAAGGTGTGTGGAAAGTGGAGACTGCGCGCATTGATCTTGGCAACAGATAAAGTGAGTAGTTTCACTTTTCGGCCGCTTTTCCCCTGAGGAAAGAAGGCTTCATAATAATAGGTCTGCGCACACACACACAAATGATGTTATTTGTGAGACAGTTTGTTTTCTCGCATTCAGCAAATATGTGCATTTGAATTGGCATTCCTCTATGGAAAGTGTGCAAAATAATAACGGACACTGAGTTCGTAAGAAAGAAGACAGACATGCATACGTTAATGAAGGTAATTTTTTTGCTGTGGTGCTGCTAGGAGGTGTGGGTTTGCAACATGGCGATCATGCGTATTTTTGGACCTGGTTGTTGGCATGGAAATGCGAAGGTCGTTTGCGTTAGGACCAAGATAAAATACGTTTACGTTCCGTGTAAGAAGGGCAAAGTAGCAGGTCCACACGTAAGAAGGTGACTAACGAGTTTCGCTTTTAAAAAAAAAGGTCTGTCACACACCACAAATTTATCATTGCTAGAGACACAACAGTTACATGAATAAATAACGCAAAAGCCATTTCAGTGTGTCGATTAAAGTTGAATCACTTGTTTATAATGAAAGTCCTGCAATAAAATCTGTGGCCACACCCACACGATTAAGAATTTTGTCAATAATTATATATATATATATATATATATTGGAATCAGTTTTGAGAGTAGCAGAACCGAATCTTGATAAGCGTCGCGTTAGATGTATACCACAGTCCGTAGTGCCTTACTAAGCCCCACGCCATGCAGGTGTATGGTGGAGTGGAGGTTTTCCTCTCCTCATTCTTAACCTCGGCACTAGACTGCTGAGTGGTTAGCTTCAGGCTCCGGCCGCATTAATCCCGAGGAAGGCACTCCAGCACCCACAGACAGGCACCAAAGCCGGTAGCCGGGAATTTCGTGTCAGCCGAGTGAATATCAGGTTCTCAAGGACTGCGATTCATGGAGTTTTGGTTACGAATTTTATCAAATATTTGTTGCACGTTTTCATAAAATGTTTCATCAGCTTATAATTACCGTTGGGCTTTTTGAATCAGTACAGAAGAAAGAACGAAAGAAAATGTTTAAAAAGTGTGTTTATGAATTTTATTCAAATTTATGGAAAGTGCGTACGTATTGTTAACTGAAGGGCATGTAAGGAGATAAGTAGGTAAGTTGGTGGCGTCTTATCTTTACACTTTTAGATGGATTATTAAATTATTTGTATTATTCTCCATGTGTTTTGTCCGATGGAGGTCGAATGTTGAATTCCGTCGCAGGTCATGTGATCAGCTACTCAACTTCGTACATCGCATTGACGTGTCAGGGGAAAAGTTCTCCCTCCCACAAATTTGCGGATGCTGCATTTAGTCAGCATCTACATAACTTAGATAAAGTGTCGCAAGATATGATAAGTGCAGGGACGGCCGCAGGCAATCTGGGCAGCCCAAGAAAGCACATTTGAGTAAATTAAAGGCAAGGATGTCCACGTAATTAATAAAATAATCGATCACCTTGTGGACAGAAATAAAAGAGAAGATATTGTTAAGATGTCCTATATTACAATTTATACATTTAATGCTGGGCGTGTGAACACAGTGAAGGATAAATTATTGAAGAAATTAAAATATCGAAACGTAGGTTTCACGCAAAAAGTGCTAACATCTTCATATATGGAATTTTGTAGCGTCGTAGCAGAACTCAGTTCGTTAAAATTGTCACGACCACTTACGGAGAAAGCACGTGACCAGGGTCTATATATCTCGATGTACCAGGTGGCTACATGGCCCATTACTGTAAAAAATTGCGCGTAAAATAGCGTCATCTTGATTTGTATGACCTTGCTAGACGGTAGATCGATAAACCAATGCTTCTTCACGTCGCCCACAACCAACCAAGTCCGAGCGTAAATCTGATATCAGTGTGAAATTCCCGACTAACTTTGCTCTTTTACAGATGTTTATTCTTCGTTCTGCCCTTTCGATATGAATGTCATATAGGAAGATCGAACAGTAAATTAAATAAACAAAGCCAGTGGTGACTATATGTATCACCTGCCACAGAAATCAATACTTCTGCTCTTTGCTTATTGATTGCTGGTACGGGTCCCGCATGATTTTGACAATAAACAACTAACATTTTCATAAACAGCGTCTTTGTAATAGGTGGGTTAATTTGGAGGCAAATGTAAGAAGACATTTTCATTACGTATATCTGCAGCTTAATTTGAGCTCTATATTAAGAACCCCAACACGAACCAATCTAACGAGCTGAATCCTCCAAACATGTTTTATTTACTGGTACTACGAAACCTAACCTAACTTACTTAATGCATGTAATTTATTCTATATAAAATTTGTAGTATCACAGCACACGAATGTGATAAATCCGCCCGGCGATCAGCCGTGTCAATGTCGAACTAAAACCCGACGTTTCGGAGAAAGTCCAGTCCCCGAAACGCTGGTTGTTAGTTCAGCAATGACAAGGCAGATCGCAGGGAGGATTTTATAAATGTACTCAAATCTGGATTGTTTGCGTCGGTTGGAGAAAAGTTAAAACTACTTTTCTCGATTATGGTAAAAATGTGTAACTTTTTGCGTAGATGGTCTAGCGTTTGTGTGTAACAACTGTCAATATCAACTGTAAGAAACAACGTTGTATTTCATAATACCAGTATCAACCCCACAATGAAATCATCTGCGTCAATAATTATTCGTATCGTCACACTAACTGTACGTGAGATCAGATATTTTTATTTGAGACCTTTATTTCAGAAGACCAAAAATCATTAGGCTTCTGTTGTGAGTATGAGGTTAATTTTAAATCGATCTGTGCTCTCTTAGACGAATTTTGCACAATCCAAATATTGTCTTCAATAAAGACTATATAACGAATTCGATATCAAAACCTTCGCATAATAATGGTGTCTAAAACAACTACCAATAGGCCTACTGCAGTTTTACTACACTAATCATGAATGTCGGATCTCATATTGCCTGATAATACTGACTTTATTACATATTCGCCATAACTTGAGATAGTACCTTCTGCGTCTACAGGAGCTAAAAGCCAAAGAGAAATGGCGACGGTATCTTTTACATTTGTAAAAACATTTTTCTTCCGCTTGCATTTGTAATATCCAAGTCTTCGCGCCGCTGTTCAGTTTACTTCCAGGTATTTTACGTTCAGTGCAGTTAATTTTTATCTTGGTTCGAATCCCGATTTAAATAAAGGTGTCAACTTATCGTCACGCCCTTACATTATGTAAATGTGTTCATTAATAACATGTCAAGTAATGATGCAACAACGTGTTAGCAGTGTTTACGTTCATTTGTAAATTGTCCTCACAATGAAAGCGGTAGTTAATATCTCATTTGTGTAAATAGAAAAAAAACTCTATTGCATAAATTCTTAAATTAATAAGTGTGAAATACTGTACATATTGTCATCCTTGTTGTATATTTTACTTAGATATTAATACTTCGTCATAATGTGGAGTCTGACTAATAAGAATCAGGTATTGCTCCAAAAACCGTGAGTTGTTAAACTCAAAACAGCCCCTTTAAGTGATCATTTTAACGCTCAAAACAAATGTACTATAAAAAAGAGACGGTGTTACTTCTTACCTTTTCCTTTGGCCATTCTTATTCAGTGAATAGTTCTGAGTAAGCTCGTGAGATTGTTATTCGAATAATTCAAAACGTGACGCTCTGCGCTGAGTCCAGGCAACACTAAGTCCGTGTCAATACGAGACGTGAGCCCCGGGCACATCTATAGCTACACATGAGTAGCGAAAGCCGTGCTAATAAAATTGCAGCTGCGCACAAGTGACGCCAGCTTAAATTAGGTTATCTAGAGTGCGACAGTTACAGCAGGAGTTTACTCAGATAATTATAGCTTAACGAAAGTGACAGGAGTTGACTCATGTCATATTTTAGAAGGCAACATAAGTATTGAGAGGCTGAAATAGACACTTTGAATGAAAACTGGTAACTTGTCACAGGATTATAGCAATGTTAATAGATATACCAACGAGACTGAAGCATTTGCTAATCCTGTTATCAGCAGGACTGATTTTGTGGAAATCCTGGTGGGACAGTTTGTGAAGATAAAATTAAAATTTTAACTTGAAAATAACAATAAACTTCTACCAGACTACGTAGCACTGCAACCTAGAAGACAGCAATCTTCATACACACTGCCATGAGAACCTCAAATCTCACACTTTGATTTGACAATTTTAATTTAAAATGCAATGTAACATGAGAGAGAAAATGTGATAGTTCCTACCCAGGTGAACAATACTGTTAAGAATATGCCAAGAAAGTATACCAGTTTCATTTACTTTACCTCCTATGAACTGTCAGTGGGCTGGTCACTCACTACTTCACGCATGACCAAGACCAAGAAACCTCCGAAAAGGAGGCGGCGAAAACCCACAACAGGGTTGTAGTGACAAGAAACAACAACAAAAACCTCCTATGAACTCTCACTTCTTAAATCTATAATTTTCAGCACTTTCAGATAAATGTCAGAGAATAATCTTTAAATATATTCAAGAATTAAAATAGTTACCTTACATACAAATCAAAAAATGTTGTGGAAGTTATTGTTACCAACTCATTTGTGAATTACTTGCCCATATTTTAAATTATGAATTCAATTAATTGCTGGTTTTGAAGAAGTTCACTGTTATTACATTATGACTTTTCTCATATATTTCTGTGTGCTTACATACGCACGCCCCATCTATCAAGGCTGAATCAACAGCTGTATTTTTTGCTGATGATACTAATATTATTTCACATCCAGAAATTTACCACTTTCATAATTACATGATAGATGTCTTTGGTAGTTTGAACAAGCAGTTTAAAACTAATCCAATAAATCAACAATAATTTTTTCTGTCAACTGTGTGATATTTGCTATTAACAACAAAACCTGTAAGCACTAGCCTATTAATTTAAACATATGTTATGTTAAGAAAACAAATGAATGAATAGGAACAATAAATTCTTGGCAAATTATAATACTGTAATAAAGTGGAAAACATACATTGAATATATTGTCCCAAAATTAAGTCAATTAGTTACTTTGATTACTTCAATTCCATCATGGCATATGGGGTAATCAAGGAAAATTCAACAGCAAACTTTTTTAATTTCTGAAAAGAATCATTAAAATAATATGTCAGGTAAGGAAAGTGTCTTGCATAGAATTACTTTAAAAATTTAATATGCTTCATCTTGGTAGCAAATTCTTCCTTTCATTACTGTCATTCGTTGTGGACAACATGGAAAAGTTTCATTTATTATGTTCAAATAACACACATTATAACAAAATTTAACCTTTATTATTTACTATGACATAATATAGGAGTATATTATTCATTACTCAAATTGGTAGATAATCTTTATTTTAACAATAAAAGTTTAAATAATTTTGTAGGCTTAAAACTATTTAAGCTGCTAAAATTAATATATTATTTCTTATATAACTCATGTTCTGTAGAATTTATTGTATTTGAAGTAATGTTAACATTTATAAACATAATATTTCTTTGACACTATATTTTATAAGAACAGTAAATTTTATGGAGCAAAGTAATTAACTGTAGCAACCAAACATTTATTCCTGTATATGATATCTTCTATATCTTTGTCCTAGGAAAGGTCTATGAAGTATAAATAAATTCTGTACTACTTGCTTCAGTTTAGGTAAAACATCTGTGTTTCAAACTGCATGGTACATGTCTCAATAACAGCATCTCATTAGTACATCACCAAAAACAGAAAGATAGATATATTGATAGATAGATTTAGAATCATCCTATATAACCTAAAAAATAGGGTGTAGGACAAGTCAGAAAAAACATACCACATTCAGAAAACACCTACAAGTACAATACAGCTACAAAACATATCTGAAGAACAAAATACACTGTAACACACAATACTGCATATCATACATTATATTATTAACAGCTTTTCATCAAATTTGTATTATATTTAGAGACAGCTGAGATTTTCTACATTCAAAACATGTTTGTTAACTAAACAGTATCATTATCCATATACAGTAGATTCCGGTTAATCGGGGCAACCGTTTATTTGGGACAAATCTTAAAGAACAAACATTTTTAACTCTTTACATGGAACTTCGCATAATTGTGGCAACCGCTTAATTGGGCCAAAGCGTTCTTGTCCCTATGTGTCCCAATTAAACAGAATCCGCTGTACAATAATATCATATTTAGGTTACTTGCATACAAATTACACTTGTAGACGTTTATAATCATAAATAAAGGTCTATAAGTGTATATTATATACTTGGTAAAACATGCATATAAACAGTGAACTAAACTCAAAATTTACACACAGAATTAATCAGTCAGTTCTTTTAAATTGTTTACTGCTGGTAGATAAGCTTTTAATTTTGATGATCACATTGTTATGTAGTTTTATTTCAGTGCAGTAGACTCCTTTTTGATAGGCTATAAAATTAGGAATTGTTCTGTGAAGATCACACTTGTGTCTTGTGGTTTCTGTATTATTCTCTTCTCTGTCCAACTGCCATGATTCCAGTAATATTCTTATATGGAAGGAATAATTTACCAACCTCAGAAGAATTGTGTCATACTGTTCTACCATACGTCATGATCCAGTGGAAGTATGAAAAGTGTAGTTTCTAGGACCACATTACTAAGTTACTTTATTGCAAAACACGTATGAAATTTATATGAATGAAGGACATCATTTTTACAGTTAGCAGCAATCATCTAGATCAAGGGCAATTTTTTTACATCCTGTATATATAGCTCATTTGCATATTAGTTATTACCGTGTTATTAGTTACACGTTTTATTAACTTTAAAAAGAGCTTGTTGGCTGTGAATCATATATTTATTCATAACTGTAAACATAACCTGCATCGAAGTGCATAACCTCACTTTCTCGACAGTGTACGACCTCGGAATATTAGTATTTCAGAGGGGGCAAATTTTGGTTCACGAGTGCGGTAGACTAGAATATTATATTCATTTTAAATGTTTTCGGCATTTGCCATTCTTGCTTTCTCCTTGTTATTTAAATGTTTACAGAAACTCATGCAAAACATTGAACTCCTATTCCCTATAGTTGAAAAGTGTAAATTTTTTTAAGCACGACCTACATGATTCAGGGATTTTTCTAACATAAGAATTATTAAATTATCTACAATGATTTTTTCAAGGGATAAGTAGGACACTTTTGCATAGGTATACTTAGACTTTTATTGATACGCTTATTAAATAGATGTCGTAATGATTCTGAATTTCAAGATGGCGTGTGAATTAGAGGTCTGTAGATAGGAGCATGCCATTGGTTGTATTGATGTCGCGTGAATTTAAATTATAAACTACAACATTTCTTTTTACCATGGATTAAAACTCAGTTTTGTCACGAAACACTGAAAATTGCACTGTCAGTCTAGCGTTTCCGGTGTCAGGTATGATAATGAAAAATACATAGCAAGCGTATAGAACCCGTTCATATAATCAAGCATATACATTGCAAAAGTAGAATCCTAGAAGCCTAAGTGGTATAACAGCCCAGAAGACCAATATTAACTTTGAATTTTAAGTTTTCTTCTTTCTGTAAATTTAATTTGTGCTTTATACTCTTTACAAAGATTATATCAATTCTCTGACAGCAGTGTATATGCCTGCTATATTTGAAAAGGATGCACATATGGTCTCTTCTGTATGTTTTACTCTTAGATTGGATTCATTCCTTGAGTACTGGGTTGAATGTTTGTGGATGTAATTAGTCAGATTAAATGACATTTTGTGTGATGTCTGCAGCAAATGATTCTTGCACAATGACGCACGTTCGTCACCACAGCAGAGAACTACACAGAGAATAGAGACCATGTGATTGCCCTCATTGTGGTTGTTCCTTCACTCAGCATTCTGCAATGTGCAGTCATCAAAAGATACATCTTGAATCAAAGGTCAGGTGTGCTGTCTGTGTGGAAAAACATTCATAGAACACAGCACATTGCTCTGGCATTGTAGAAAACACACTGGTGAGTGGCATAAAATTACTTTGATTATGTCATTGGTACTATTTAGACTCATGCAAAAGATGTATTTGCTTGCTTTGAACCCTAATGACATGTCCTTACTGATATTTGTATAATTTTATTTCTGTAGTTTTGCTGTTTTCTGTCTGTGGAATTTTATGAATTTCTATCCATATTTTGTTACTCAGAATTGGAGAATATGAACTTGGTACTAAGTAAATTTGAAGTTTAATCTTCTGTTTAGTCTTGAAGAATATATTGTTTAAGTTACATGTTGTAGGGTGCTTAATATTTTTACTGCAATTCTAGGGATAAACAATCTGTCACATGCAGCAGAATGTGGGAAGCAGTATGAATGTACAGAGTGTAACAAGATCTTCACCGAGAACTCCATGTTGTACTACCACAAGAGAAGTGACTCCGGACTGAAACCATTTGAATGAAATGTCTGTCATCGCACGCTCCATGTAAAGCACAACCTCAAGACTCATATGGTGTGGTATGGTGGAGACTTCGTCTAAAGGCCTTCGCCATTGTTCAGGTATCTATATTAATTAACTTATGTTACTTAAATATTTTTGTAACAGAATTTGGCTCATATATTACATAGATCCAGTAGAGTAACAAGAAATTTGTAATGGGAGGGTTTTTTAAAATTAGTCATCTTTGTTGGCAATGGTGCTACATATTTCTGTTACCATGTCAGGCCCTTAACACAGCTCTTCTACACCCCACCCCCCACCAATACAGTGATCAATGTTAATTGCTTCATATACCAAGGTATAAAACATAAAGTATAAAGAACATTGATGATGTTCCTTTGTTTGCAGCTTATATATATATCTGTCTATCTTGCGACACATGGTTTAACCTTTTTAACTCTGTCGTACACCCATTGTAAGAATTATGTCATATGTTCATCTTTATTGAATGGTAATGGGTGATTAAAATGTCTGTTTTGTGGGATGCTGACCAGGTTTCAGATCTGGGGAAGGGACATTTTATGCTAGTGGTTTGCTGCTGCTGCTGCACACAACTAGGTGGGACCACATGCGAAGGCCGTAACATAAAGCCAGTAAAAGATTAAAGTTATTCTGTTTTATTACACATCATCAAGCTGGCCTTATCAGCTCTGTTTCTGCGGTACACTTACGTACCTGCGCATTGAGTCAGGAAACATTTCTTAGTTCAGATACTGGGATGGATTGAGTGTGCAGTTGGGTCATTAGATGGTGATATGAATATAATACAATTTTAGGAAACAGAGGAACAGTGAAATCTTGGCTGTGAAAAGGTTAACGTCTAACTCACATTTGCATGGTGCACCATGTTTTTGTAAACAAGACTCTGAACAGCTGTTGTAGTTCAGCTTAACAGTTATGTTTGTAGTGGAGGATTCAATTTGCAGAAGATTTAGGTTGTGGCAGCAAAAGCATTACATGTGACTTGAAGGGTATTTAATTACTCACATTTACATACTCTTTTAGTTTTAGAATGCATTGATTGTGTTTGGTTTGATTATGAGTCAGTGATTTTCTGTAACTGTAGTGAGTGAGTACTTGAGTAAGCCCAGTAATCTGTCCGTATATTAGCCTGCACACAGTTGACTCCATGGAGTAGAATCTTTCATGAGAAACTAATAGCTGCTCAGTTAGTCAAGACATTCTCCGCATGTTGCGGTACCCGAAGGTTCATTGCCATGTTCACAAGGGCCTGCCAGTCCCTATCCTGAGCCACATGAATTCAGTCCACACCTTTCTATCTTGTGTATCAGGAGGAAGCTTTGATAACTCAGTCAGAATAGAGAGTGTAAAGATGGCTGTTTTCTGGGGTATTGTTCCATGTAGGCTGTTAGAAAGTGAAACTGATGCTGCAGAGGTCGCTGGTGAATTTCTATCAGACTACATGGCGCATCATCCCAGAAGACAGTCATCTTCATACTTGTCACCATGGGAACCTGAGATCTTACCTAGAATAGTGATTAGGATACAGGCTAGATGACGTAAATAACACATTTTACAACAAAGGATCACACCAAGCTAAGATTGAGGCCTCAGAAGATCTAGATATTGTATGACTGAATTTTGGGGTGGAGTGGTTAGCACTCTTGCGTCTTAGTTTTTATGTTGTGGGTTAAAATCTTGACCTAGAGACGTGTCGATTTTCTCAACCCCTCTAAGATAAATGGCCTGCTTTAAAAGAGTTTCTCTCACATCGTATATAATTCATTATTCACTAATCATCATTTGATTCCATATATAATCTGAGCTATTGACAGCCTAAATCATAAATAAATAAATATAACGAACCGTTCACTGCTTAATGTAGATGACAATTGTTTCGATTACATTGCAGCTGTAAATCATTTAAGTTTAATGGATTCCGTGGAAATTGGTACTGTATGAATAATTGGACACTTGGCTTGCCGTTGGCAATACGGGGTCGTCACGAATAGAATATTGCTTCCTGTTGTTGGTTGTATGTGTGGAATGGCTGGTTATATAAATGTTCTGTCTATAGACACATCCATTTAAGAAGGAAATGTTTGAGTCATCAGCCATGCGGCAGTCCCTTGAATATTTTATCAAGTTCTCCTCCTCCCTCCTCCCCCCGGTCGTTCGCCCCACCCAGTAGGAACCTGTTGCCGCTGAAGATAGAGGACTCTGCATGCAGGTATTAGAATCCAGCCTCGGCTTCCGCTCGCAGTCCGTCCATACTTCGATTGCCTGGGTGTTGACTACTTTGGGGCCTTCAAAATTCTGTTGCTGTGTGCATGGCCATTTTAAGCCCTCATTTTTCATTTTCATAAACTTAGAAAACTGAGAAGCAATAAATTGTCGAAAAAATTGTTCAGAATTAATATTTAGAGTAACGTCAGATTCTTCGCTGTAAAATAGACTTTTATTAGACTTATTAAGAAGGATAGACGTATTATACATAAATACGTAACCCGTGTATGAGGTACTTAATTAAGAATTGTAAATTTTGTCGACTTTATTGTTGTTAGTATCGCCTCGTGAACTTGTAGGCACATACCAACGTTTCGGGTAACATACTTTATCCATTTTCAGCCCTGAAGATAGAGAATATATGTTTCTCCTAGACGTTGGTGTCTACATGCGTTGGGATTTTCGGCAACGCGAGGATGTCAAATCTCAGTTGTAAATTTTGTTTACAAATTTTTTAATGTTGTGTACTCAGACGAAATAGAGGGAGTTGGTTCACTTTAAATAAAATTCGCCCTACGGAATAAGCGTAGGACTTTTGAGCGCGCTTTCAGATTCGTCAAGTGCCTTAGAAAAACAAAAGGTCCTGGAAGATTGGATTCCTCGTGCCGCTGTCTTTTCTGTTGCGCCTAATGATATTGGGGATGCAGGCCCGTCTTACGTCACTTCAAATCATTGCTTTATTTCTCTTACGGAATTCAAATTCGGTTTTCCTTGGTTCAAGTGTGAACAGCTACAAGTCAGAGAAAGGGATGTGAGTGATGTCTTAGGCCCATATTTTGTATTATCTGTGGTTTGGCAAACCTGGTGTACATGATGATGGCTTGTGT